GAGTAGAGTAGAGTAGAGTAGAGTAGAGTAGAGTAGAGTAGAGTAGAAGAGAGTAGAAGAGAGTAGAAGAGAGTAGAATAACATAAAATAACATAAAATAACAAAATAAAATAGAATTATTTATTGGCCAAGTGTGATTGGACACACAAGGAATTTGTCTTGGTGCATATGCTCTCAGTGTACATAAAAGAAAAGATACATTCATCAAGAGTCAAGAATCATAAGGTACAATACTTAATAATACTCATAGGGTACAATAAGCAATTTAATCATCCTAGGAAACAGTCAATAAACATTGTTAGGATACAAGCGACAAAGTTACAGTCATACAGTCACAAGTGGGAGGGGATGGGTGAAAGGAAGGATGGGAGAATTAATAGTAATAGTAGTAGTAATGCGGACTTAGTAAACAGTTTGACAGTGTTGAGGGAATTATTTATTTAACAAAGTGATGGCTTTCAGGAAAAAAACCTGTCTTTGTGTCTAGTTGTTCTGGTGTGCAGTGCTCTATAGCATCGTTCTGAGGGTAGGAGTTGAAACAATTTATGTCCAGGATGTGAGGGATCTGTAAATATTTTCACAGCCCTCTTTTTGACTCATGCAGTATACAGGTCCTCAATTGAAGGCAGGTTGGTAGTAATTGGTTTTTCTGCAGTCCTAATTACTCTCTGAAGTCTGTGTCTGTCTTGTTGGGTTGCAGAAGCAAACCAGATAGTTATAGAGGTGCAGATGATAGATTCAATGATTCCTCTGCAGAACTGTATCAGCAGCTCCTTGGGCAGTTTGAGCTTTCTGAGTTGATGCAGAAAGAATAAAATAGAATTCTTTATTGGCCAAGTGTGATTGGACACACAAGGAATTTATCTTGGTGCAAATGCTCTCAGTGTACATAAAAGAAAAGATACATTCGTCAAGAGTCAAGAATCATAAGGTACAACACTTAATGATAGTCATAGGGTACAATAAGTAATCAAATCATACTAGGAAACAGTCCATATAAATCGTAAGGATACAACAAAGTTACAGTCATACAGTCACAAGTAGGAGGGATGGGTGATAAGGAGTGATGAGAAGATTAATAGTAATAGTAGTACAGACTTTGTAAATAGTTGAACAGTGTTGAGGGAATTATTTGTTTAGCAGAGTGATGGCTTTTGGGAAAAAACTGTTCTTGTGTTTAGTTGTTCTGGTGTGCAGTGCTCTATAGCAGTGATGGCTAACCTTTTGAGCTTGGTGTGTCGAAAATCGGGAAAAAGTGTAGCCTTCCTCAGGTCGTGTGTCACTTCAAGAAATATCAATAATTTGGTTTATGACGGACTGGGCTGGGGTGATCACACAGGGCTGTGAAACTCGTCTCCCTGGTCTCAGGGCTGCAGGTGCAGGATGTGGGGATCGGAAGGCCACCTTACAGGGCTGTGAACCTCATGGATCTCCTTTCCTCCTGTAGCGTTCCTGAGGTAATGAAACTGACAAACCTCAGTTTATGGCGGTTAAAACTGGTTCTCTGCTGCAAAGATCTCGCGGCAGCGGTGACACCACGCCTCCACGCAACAAGCAGGGAGCAGGGATTGGAGCAGAGCACAGGCAGCCTCTAAATGTGCAGGTTTTCCCCACACCAACAGGCGTGTCAGTCAAAGTGCCTCGGCGTGTCACGAGTGACACGCGTGTCATAGGTTAGCCATCACTGCTCTAGGGCCTGCCTATCCAAATGTAGATTTGCACATTTCCACATTTACGAAACCTTCTCCTACTCGTGAGGAGGGTGTGAAGCGGAATGGGTAGCCAGCTCTTTCCACCCAACTGTTCCTGATTCTTCTCTTTCTGTTTTGCAGACGGGCTTCACAATTCGGCAGATCTGTGGAGCTCCTCCAGCAGCATGAGCCAGTCGAATTATGGGGCCATCTTGGGCGCTTCTTCCTCCCCGCTTCCCCAGTCTAGCAACTTCAGCAATCTTCACCAGCATGAACGCATGGTAATAAAACCCGGGGCCTCTGGTGTGCTATCAGCACGTGTAAGAGATTGGTAGATTCTATACAGGTAGTCCTCAACTTAACCATTCGTTTTATGCACCGCTTTCTGTAATCTCTCTGCTGCTCCGTGTCAAATTCTGTCTTGCATTGTTCGGTACCATGAATTCTTTAATCTACTGTATTTTGAATTATTTTTAAATCAAGAAAACCATTGACTTTATCATCAGTTGTACTCTTGATTTTATATTTCTTCCCCTTGATAAAATTCTAACATCTGACTGTAGGTTATCCATCTCTCCCTGCCTATTACTTCTTGTCTATAAAATGCTTCTTTGTTCTGGGAGCCCTAATAGTGTTTTCAGGCAGAGCCTGATTGGGTATTTGTTCGATAGTCTTCATGTGGCACGTCTCACATAACAATTTTTGAAATCTACGCTAACTTTGACTCCACTGTACCACAAATATCCATGCCACCATATATGTCAGGTAATGTTCTTTTAACTCTAAAACTCTTTTTATTTCTCAGTTACATCCATTTTTTCATCCAAAGCAAACAATAAACTGCAAATTATGATTTCAGATCAGGTCAACCCTGTCCTCGTCTTTCCTTTACATCTTGATTAAAATCTTACATTTAACTCTCGGCTTTTTCCTTTGGCATACAAACTTAAATATATCTTTTGGCCGTTGTTTAAATGATATGTCAGTTGTCAAGACAAGTATTGTCTGAAACAGATACATCATTCTAGACAAGGTATTCATCTTTATCACAGAAATTCTTCCCAACAGTGTCATTTCTACCATCATAGCTTGTCTTTTTAAATTTCATTCCATGCCTTCATATAATTGCTTTGAAATAACATAATTCTTATTTGTCATAATGACACCCAAATATTTTATTTCTCAACTTTTAAACCAGTTTTCTCTATCAGTTCTGTTTGATCCTCTATTTTCATATTTTTTTATTTACCTTTCATCTGCTGGGTATTAATCTTAAAACCTACCATCATAGTTGTGAGCTCCAGATTACTCCCAATGTATAAACCTCCTCCTTCAGGGGGAATGCCATGTCATCCGGAGTCAAACAAAAACTTCCTCTTGTTAGTCCCAAAGGTGCTTTTTCCAAAAGGCAACTGGACTGCCTTGGTTTCTTTCATTTGCAAACATTTCGCTTTTCATCCAAGAAGCTTCTTTAGTTCTAACTGAACTGAGTTAGAATGGAAAGAAATGTCCTGGATGAGGAGTGAAATGTTTTCAAGGAAAAAAATGAAACAAGAAAGTCTGTTTGCCTTTTGTGAAAAGCATTTGTGGGACAATCATGATGAATGATTGAAAATCTCTATAGACATTCATCTTAGAATTCAGGGCTTTTTTTTATTGGCGGGGGGGGGGGGGGAAAAAAGTCATAAAATGGGGCAAAACCAGAGGTGGTATTCAGCACCTGGAGAACCAGTGGTGGAAATTTTGAGTAGTTCGGAGAACTGGCAAATATCATCTCTGACTGGAGATTTTACAGTCTCCTTCCCCTGCCAGGCCCACCAAACCACGCTCACTGCTAGTTTTTTTTTAAAAAAATATGAATCCCACCACTGGGCAAAACTCTCCTAACAACTCCCTTGTTTAACAACAGAAATGTTGGGCTCAGTTGTGGTCGTAAGCCGAGGACTACCTGTACTACTTTCTTTCCTGAGGTCCACGATGAGAGTAGAAAGAGTAAATCCTGAAGTTTTATCTCCTAAAATTCTAAAATTGAGTCTGAAAGGAGAAATATTAATGGAAGATCCCCAGTGTGTATCCCGCCCCCCCTTCTTCCCTTTGTAAATGCCTTCCTTTGTTCTCTTCTAGAATTATCAGATGCATTCGGGCGAAGTCAACGGTGGGCTCCCATCCGTCCCTGGATTTTCTTCAGCCTCCACTCAGTATGGAGTGTCCAGCCACACTCCCCCGATTGGTGGGACAGAAAATGTCATGGGTAATTATTTGGTCTTTTGTCTCCAGAGCCATGGAAACGCGTTTAGTTGCTTTTCTTTTTCTTTGCTTTTTTCATTTTAAGGGTTGAGCTGCCATAGGAACTTACAAAGTTTGAGAATCCAAATTGGAGGGACTAGATATTTTCAAGATCAAATAGCTTGCCCCCAAAAAAATCCTTCCTCCCCATTTCTCTGATTTAACTCAAGAGTGATTAATAAAATATTCCTTGATTCTGTTTAATTTCATGTCACACAGAGAGAGAGGGGTCAAAATAGCAGCCACAGTGAAGCGATGGAAACCCAACATCTTGACGTTGTGAACATGTGGTCACAAGACATGACTGAGAGCAATAGTTCCAATAAGATTAAAATAATAAAATAACAGAGTTGGAAGGGACCTTGGAGGTCTTCTTGTCCAACCCCCTGCTCAGACAAGAAACCCTATAACATTTCAGACAAATGGATATCCAATCTCTTCTTAAAAACCTCCACAACTTCGAGAGACAAGTCATTCCATTGATTAATTGTTCTGTCTGGAATTTTCTCCTTAATTCTAGGTTAGTCCTCTCCTTGATTAATTTCCATCTGTTGCTTCTTGTTCTACCTTCAGGCGCTTTGGAGAATAGCTTGACTCCCTCTTCTTTGTGACAGTCCCTTAGATATTCTGAAATATCCTTAGGCAGCATTCTGAGACTGCCAAAGAAATTTCAAGCGCTTGGGTGGATTTTAGACTTAGAAGCATGCAATGGAGCACCAACTGTGGTGGGAGGGAGAAGAATGGGGCAGAAATAACTCTGGATGTGTCTGCTTCCTAATCATACACCCACATAACCTGCTTTGGGTGCACTGCCACTCTTCTAATGCAAATTCCTCCCCTTCTCGTGTCTTCCTGGCACATGAAGGTTAATCCCTCAAGAGTGGCTTTGGGCCAGGGGGAGCCCAGCAGACGGAAATAGATCTATTTAGCTTTAAGCCCCTGTCTGGTGGACGTACTTAGTAATGTCTCCCCTTTTTGACAGCCAGACATAGAATCTTCATCCCTCACACTGTTTATTACATAGAGACTTGAAGACCTGTTTTTAATCCTCCTGCCCTCCTCTCACACTGCTGTTTGGGGAGGGGAGGAAAGAGACTAAATGTCACCTCAATTCATCTGCAAGATCCCTCAAAATCGTTGGAAGTGAAGGTTGCCTTTACTTACTTAAGGACGTGCCCATTTTTAATTTAATCAACTTCAGTCATAGAGGCCCGACAAATCCTAGAGGCACCCAAGTGGGACAAATACAGCAGTCCCTGGGAGTGGCTGTTATAAACAAGGATTAGAAAGGGGGGAGATAATGCGGATCAGGGAAGAAGAGACGGGGTGGTTTAGATCCACTGGGAAAATGCTGTTGGCTGATGCGGAATCCAGCCTTCTAGTCATATCATTCTCGTGTTACAAACCTTTTCCCTTAGTGTTTTTAATTTAATAAAACAAACAGTTATTTTATTAACAGTTAATAAAAATGGCAGGCCGTGAGTTCAAGTCCCACCTTACCCATGAAAGCTGGCTGGGTGGCTTTGGGCCAGTCACTCGCTCTCAGTCCAACCCATTTCTTCACAGGGTTGAAAAATAGAGGGAGGGAGGTTTATTGGATGTGTTCGCTGCCTTGAGTCATTTGTAAATATAATAAAGGCGGGATACAAATAAATAATTTCCCAGCAATTAAGAGATTAAATAAAAGACCTGCAATCCCTTTGAAAGGATCTCTAGCTCCTTCTATAGATTTGGGGAAAGTGGTTGGTGATGGAAAGTTACTGGGAGGTGACTGATTAGTTTCCCCAGAAAAGGGATTTGGCCCCAAGTGTTAAGTCACCAAACATCATCAGCCCCCCTTCATGGACACATCCTGCCCGCTCATCACAAAATCTGAGTGTAAAGGGGCCAGTTAGAGCCTCAGTTCCCATCTCTGCGTAGAGGAAATAGGTATTTTAGCCAAGGAACAGGAAAAAACGCATCTCTCTCAGGTTTTCCTAAGCATTTGCATTCATCCCATCCCCAAAGACAGATGGAGGAACGGACATTCTATGGATTTAATGTCGTAGCTTTTCCTTTGGGTACCATTGCTTTGTTCTGTTTGATTTATAATGGATTCTATTTTAATGTGATTTCCCCCCCCCCCCCCTCCTGTTATTAGTCACTTTGAGCCTGGTTGGCTTGAGTGCATTGTAACTATATTGTATGAAATAAATAAAATGTGAATTTTCTAGGTTTGAACAAAGTGTTTCCATGTTCTGACACTTTGTCCCAAGTTTTGGATAACATGAGACATTTGAGTGTTTTTTCTTACATAAAAATGGGAACTTGGAACATGCTTTGGCTCTTAGCTTTATTTCCTATAGTCATAATGTTTGGGAGGTGGTAGTCAAAGCTACATAACACCCAACCTAAAAACAATTGGAATACAGTAATATTTTTTAAAGTTAAAATTCCCTGCAGGAGCAACAAAATGCATTTTTTTTGTATCCTACTTTAATAATAACAGCATAACAGAGTTGGAAGGGTCCTTGGAGGTCTTCTAGTCCAACGCCCTGCTCAAACAGGAAACCTTATACCATTTCGGAAAAATGTTGCCCAATCTGTTTTTAAAAACCTCCAGTGTTGGAGCACACGCAACTTCTGGAGGCAAGTTGTTCCACTGATTAGTTGTTCTCACTGGCAGGAAATTTCTCCCTGGTTCTAATTGGTTCTATCCTTGATAAATTAAAAATAATTCCTTTGGTAAGTTTTTCTATAAATTGGATGATAAGTAGCACATACCATGGACAACCATGTATGTCGGCATATCTCCAACTAGCGCTATACCCATGCTTTGCTACGAAACTATGTGATCGGGCTTAGTTTTTGAGGAGGAAAACAAGGAAAAGAAAATTCTGCCTCTGCCTGCCAGCATCCATCGGTATTCATCTGGCTAGTGTCCTGTAAGTGCGTGAGAGTTGGAAACTGAAACAGTATTTGCTGTGTGAGCAAGAAGGAGATAGCAAGGAGCCTAGGCGTGGCTTAGCTCAAGTGTTCTGTACTAAAGCTGTTTGGTGCTCTGAAACTGAAACTGAAAAACTCTCCTCTGCTTGTGTTTTGCATTTGGAACAGATTTCTTTTCAGGTGGGGAGGGGGAGTAGAACTCCTTAGCATCAGAGCGTGTTAATATAGGAAATACTAATGCTCTGATGATGGTCATTTTGAAAAATCCTTTCTTAGTGAGCACCTAGAAGCCAAGAGGAACATACATGCCAAATTTCAAGTTTGTAGGCTTTACAGTTCTGGAGATTTTGTGATGATGCGGGAGTGGTATTTTGCTTTTATATACAGTATATAGAATGGGTGATCAAGGGGTTTCTGCATGCAGAATACTCAATATGTTTCTAGGACCAACAAAGCAAACATATTCAAGAAGTTTTTACAGATACTTTTCAGCAGGGATGTCCAAACTCAGAATTTCTTGTGGTTGGTTCATTCATAGCCCTAAAATTTCTGGGCTTGATATTCCATTTGTTTATTTGTCCTTCCAAGGGTTGGGATTCTACCAGTTCGCACCTATTCGCTAGAACCGGTTGTTAACATTCTAAGCAGTTCGGAGAACCGGTTGTTAGAAGAAATTACTGGACTAATCCTGTAAGGAAGGCAGAAAGGAAACATTCTGGTGTTGCTTACGGAAACTGCCTCTCCATTAACCCTTATTACATTCTTGGCAGGACTAGACTTCCTGTCTCTGGAACGTCTCTGGAGGTTTTTTCCCCCTCCTTTGCTGGAACTTTGCTTGCGTGGAATGACCATTCAAAGTTACAATGGCACTGAAAAAAGTGACTTATGACCATTTTTCACACTTACGACTGTTGCAGCATCCCCACAATCATGAGAGGCCAGGGGAGGAGATGCATGCTTCGATGTGAGCGATGTTGAGTTGGCCACGCCCAGCCAATCACATGACCACCAAGCCACGTCCACCAACTAAGCCACGCCCACAGAACCGGTTGTTAAAAAAATTGAATCCCACCCCTGGTCCTTCCTGATTTTAATTCTTCTCTTCCTTCAGGTAATCGAGGAACCACCGCTGGCAGTTCAGGAGATGCACTTGGAAAAGCATTAGCTTCAGTAAGTCTCATTATGATTTCTCATTCTAATAACTTTTTATTTTTATCTGCAGACGCTTTGTACGTTGTATATGGAAGACTTCCAAAACTAGCACAACGTAGAACTGTTGGAACTACAAGTATAAGAATTGTTTGTTTATTACAAGCTGACCTCAGCTTACAACCATTTCTTTAGTGACCATTCAAAGTCACAACTGCACTGGAAAAAAAAAAGTGACTTATGCTCCATCCTCGCCCTTAGTCACAAGATCAGAATTCGGGCACTTTGGCAGCCAGCATGTATTTACAAAGGCATCCAAGAGTTATGTGGTCGCCATTTGCAACCTTCCCAGCCGGCTTCCTACAAGCAAAATCCATGGGAGAAGCTGGATGTGCTTAATGACCATGTGATTCATTTAACAACTGCCGTGATTTGCTTAACAATCGTGGTAAAATTGGGCATGACTCCCTTAAGAACTGCCTTGCTTAGTAATGGAAATTCTGGCTCCCAATTTTGTCCATCCTTGAGCAAAAAAGAGGAGTTGGCTTTTCAGAAGTGTGTAAGCATTATCCCAAAGGTGCTTTTTTTCAAGAGGCAGCTGGACTTTCTGGTTTTTCTTTGAAGACGTTTCGCTTCTCATCCAAGAAGCTTCTTCAGCTCTGATCTTCTTGGATGAGAAACAAAACGTCTTCAAAGAAAAATCAGAAAGTCCAGCTGCCTCTTGAAAAAAAGCACCTTTGGGACAACCATGGCCTGGATGACTGAGAATCTCCATAGACATTTAAGCATTATATATTTTTTTTCCTCCATTCTTTCTCCCAAACACTTTTCTTTTTCCTTCCTCCCCAGATCTACTCTCCAGATCACTCTAGCAATAATTTCTCTTCGAACCCATCCACTCCGGTGGGCTCCCCTCAGGGAATAACAGGTAAGCTGTAAAATTTTTGCCTATGGAAAAGCAGTATACCGTATTTGCCGGCGTATAAGA